CTGTCAGACTGTGGAGAGACTGGATAAGTTAGTGACCGGGTTCTTTGACTTTTTGCATAATTACTTAAAGACATGTTTATTTTGATCACTAACTTTGTTATTGCGCACAAGCTTCTTGATAGAAAAAGTCATTGACTACATAAATAAGTTCTAAGTAATAAGTTGGATTCAGGTTCTTGAAGCTTAGTTTCCACCACAGCAATAACAGATAAATTAATTTTCTTATATTTTGATCCAAAAATGAAATTTGTGGTTTTGACATTTGTTATTATGTGATATTTATATAACACAGTTTTGAAACAAGAGTGAATAACACCAGAAAATATTTTGTCCTGCCCTACAGTTGCTATGTCTATAAAAGGGACACTATTTTCCCATGTTTTGTGTCTCTGTGACTAATTGGGACAACATTTTTTTAAAACTGATCCAGTATTGAGCGAGTGTGATGCTTGCCGGCAATTGCGCGTACATCCACTAAAGTGCTTGTTTTTGCTATTGACAGGCTTAGATTGTTGTTGTAAGTGTCTGACACAATCAATCTCAGGTTTGGTTGGAATTGTAAAGAACAATAAAGAACAGAGCAAAGTCGCTAACGTTAGCCTAAACCTGTATATAGTAGCATCCAGGACTGGCTTCCACACATTGGAGAAATACAGGAGCAGTGCTGACTCCTTAACTCAACTTTTACTAACATAATTTGAAACCCTACAAATAATGTAGTACTGATTATGTAGGTACTGTAAGTAGTAAGCTAGTTTGCCAGACCTGCTAACATTTACACTGTCTAATCCATTCCTTACACTTCTGCTTGTCTAAGGGTTTAGAAAGGCTAAAGAGAAAGTGCCCTTCAAACTCTTTAAATACGACCTATCTAAAATATTAAATAACTACAGCCTCATACACACAGTTTCAGCATCTGCAGTGCCTAGTTATGATTGCTAAACTATGATTGGACAATTGCTGTTCAGGAGATTGCGTTGCTTTTATTGTTTAATGCATTTTCAACCACATTGCTGTTGTCAGATGAAAACCTTCTTGAAAACCTAATTTCTGCTTGGAGACAATGCATGTACACCATTATCCAAAGGGTTCTGAGAACATATTATGAGCCTCAGAAATCAGAAAATATTGGATCTAACCATAGTGCAGTGTTTCTTAAATTTGAAAAAAATTTAATTGAAAGCATGAAAGGCATCAACGCCAACACTGCTTTCATGATGCAGAACAGAACTAATTGCCTGTAGTGTTGAGAAACTGCATTGTCATCCAACATCTTGGCTACACGATTTTTTTCACAATAAAATGATTGATTTACTTTAACACTCTCACCATGCATCTGCCTGATTTCTACCAAAGTTTACGCAAAAATAAATAAAGTACACTTCCACCAGTTTAACATAATTCAGCACAATTCCAACAATTCACAGTCCATCTCTTGATGGTAGAGATATGTATGTCTGTGAAGTTTGCTTGTATGGTTCTCATTATCTCTGAAGACTGAAGTCTACATGTGCTGCCTTCATCCAGAACCTTTCCTCTCCTTCCTCCTCCTCCTCTTCTCCCCAGAGTATCTCATTTGCACAGAGGGGAGCCTAGGGCATTTTATAGAGAGGAGGGGATGAAGGGCTAAGGTAGAAAAAGATGAATATAGTTAGGATGTGGAAAAGTGCTGAGTCATGTGGATTCTCAGGCGTATTCAAATGTGAAGAATGATAGGGAAGGAGTAGTGGCCTTTTATCACATATATGTGCCAGTCTGTGATATGATACAGTTTGTTTGATTATCTATGTAATGAAATATACTAGTTTTTCAGAACTGAAATAATATTTGTTCTTTTAGTGTATAGACTACTCAAATACGCTACTCACCGAAACAACTGCAGCATAGAAAAAGACAAATACTGTGTGTCAATGGATATAAAACGTGGAACTGTTCAAGTACTCCACTACATTTATTTGACAACTTTAGTTACTACCTTCTTTGCAGATTCAGATTAATAATACAGACATACAAATATAATTAACAAATAAATTATGATGTATTATTATGGACAAAGATAAGACTTTAATAATCCCCAGATGAAATTCACAAGCTACCAGGCCTTTATTATATATAGTAAAAATAAACCCTACTTTCACCACCTGCAACATTAAAATAATGTAATTAATGTATCAATAATTATAATTCAATAATATAAGATAAATGATTCTTAAATGGACAATTCTGCATAATTAGTACTTTAATTGTGGTATTTCAATTGTTTTGATGCTCATACTTTTGTACGTTTACTTAATGAAAGACTAGGAGTATTTCTACACTGTAGTATTGCTCCTTCTAATTTTTATCTTAAATACATATTAAGCAAACACTAAGAAAGAGTAATCAAGGAGGCCAACCTGTACCTGGTTTTAAATATGCTGTTTGTCGACATGATGCATTTATTAGCACTGCTGTTTCATAGAAAAGTCCTGGGACGGAATTTTAATGTAATTTATTTTGTTTTTTTTATTACTACTTCTAAGTGGGTTTACAGTCCAAAGACAAGAACGTTTTCAGGTGTTTTTGTCTGCATTTTATGTTGCATTCACGTCAGACTGCACAGTACGGACTGTACGTATAATTAGAGTAGCCAAATGGGAAAACTGATCACATCTGTCTTAGTTATTTTTTCTATTGTTGGAGATATTGTTGATTTCTGACCCATGTGGTTTAAAGAACTAAAGACAGGTCAACAAACCATTGGGAAAATGACTGTTAAGCCACCATTACTTGCAGTTCTTTCTAAATAAAAATAATAAATAAACACAAATTCAGTCAACTCAACCAATTAAAATAAACTATATTGTGTTTGTCTGTATCCAGATTCACCAGAACGACAAAAATATGTTACAATAAAAAGCAGCTAAAGAAATTTTTTTTTTTTTTTTTTTGTTATATGCTACTGTAACTATAGATGACTATTTAGCAAGACTTTGCATCATGACTTTTTCCTGGAGCAGACTTTTTTTTTGGTCGCCAAAGAGGTTCATTTAAAGAAAAATGCCCTGTTTGGAAAAGTAGTTAACCACTTTAACAAGTATTATTTACTGTAATACTTTTTGATGTTCATGCCATCAGGGTCACTTACTTAACTTCATAGCAAATTCAAAAAGAGAGACTGTTTTGTATTTGACGGGCGGACGAATAGTTTAAACATCTGTTTCAGGTAGTATTCTATTTCTCACCCCTTGTTCAAAACTAAAAAAAAAACTAACTCCTCTCTTTCAGTCTGAAAATAAGAGCATGGAGGTTAAAGAACATCTAATTTCTGTTTTTTCTGCAAGAATATGATACAAATATGTACAGCAGATATGATAGTATAATGTTATGGTAGATATTAAATTATGATGGGCTAGTGAATGCAAAGTACTTCACTGTATAATGAGAGTTAAATGGTACACAGTTAAAATTTATGATGGTCTGATGAGACTAATATCCTGTCTAGATAATGTGTCTGGCTTTACTCTCCAGCACTTTGTCAACAGTCTCGCTCACTGCGCAGGTCTTAACACAGAGGAGCAGTCCAGAGTAGCTAGAGAATATAGCTGTGTGCGTGTGTTTACCTTTCTTTCTCGTTTTCTCTCTGCAGTCTGAAAGGTGATAAATCAAGTCAATTATACGAGTGCAGCTGCTGCATAGTTTCAGGAATACAAGATGTACTGTGAATCCATGAAGCTCCTGCTAAGACAAACACACCCCTCGTACACATACCTACATACACACCATGCACGCCATGCACATACACACTCTTTTTTTTCTTGTGTACGTTGTTGGTCATAGTATCCCTGAGCAAGGCACTCCAACCCTGAATCCAGCAAAGATGCTCAAACCGAAGCTTGTGAAGAGTTTACATGTTATATTTTAATAGTTATTATATTTTATATTACTAGCAAAATGCCAGCAGTGTAAATAAAACTGCTTTATTTTTGTTCTATGGTTTTTACCAAATTTATAGATTCAATAAATTTGCAAATGTCCAACAGTGACTTGTCTGAAGCTTGCTAACTATAAAAGTGGGTAAACTTACTTTTTGTTCAGAAACCCGACAGCTGAAACCGTTAATTTGCAGCTTTTCTGTATTGTTACTCTTTTTGTGTTCTGGTTTCTGCAGGTGCAATAACTTTGTTTCATGCGACTAACGGTCTGCTACATGCAGACACAAGACACAGTACAATTTTTGTATTCAATTTGTGATTGCAACTTTCTTATCTCTTCACTTTATTTAAACAACAAGTTTCAGTTTTATGAGGGATTGTGTACCGGACTATTTCTTTACCAGGAGTAGTGACTTCCTGGAGGATAAATGCTTACAGATGCATACAGTGAATTTCCAAAGAAGGAAGAAGTTAACAATTTCAAAATCCTTCAAACATCACCCTGTCAGGTACACAAGATTACTGCCAGACTATAGGTCATGATGCTCAGATCCTTTAAAAATTACGTTTGGAAACAACTTCAATCACACATTTTTGTAACACCAACTTTATATGAGGGGGTTCGCATAAGAGGAAGAAAGAAAAGGTTCCCTCACTTTTGTTGAATCCAAGACTATTGCTGTGGTCTATGGAAAGAATTCTGTTGCAGCATGTTGAAAACAACCAATTCATCTCTGTTTGTTTTCATATTGGTTTGATTTACAGAGCTTCATTAAACTCATAAACACTCACAATGAAAGTAATCTGCCCAGTGTGAGTTCAAAGCCATGCCAACAAACGCAGGATAAAAGAGAGTCCTGTGTTCTATCGATGTAGTCATGTTGGACTAAATAATACACTTTAGTACTTCATATTAAGTCTTATGCTGTTTGCTACAAACATTTTATTGTATGGAAGCTCCAAAAAATGCATAAAAACTCTCTGCAAACACAATTAAATGGAAGAAAAAAGAAATCCGCCCATTCAAAAGTATATTTGCATACAGGTTATAATATTAATTTATGATTGTGTGTGTGTGTGTTGCAGTGGAGGAGACCCTGGTGCGGCTGGTGAACGGATCAGGTCCTCATGAAGGTCGCGTGGAGGTTTTCCATGAACGACGCTGGGGGACGGTGTGTGACGACGTCTGGGATAAAAAGGATGGAGACGTGGTGTGTAGAATGCTGGGATACCAAGGAGCCACTGAGGTCCATAAGACTGGACGCTTTGGACAGGGTATGAGATGATCAACGCACACATTTACAAACTGTTACTTCACTGGTAGATTGCTTCAATGCAAAACATGCAGCCATCTAAGGTACATTACATTATTGTTACATGATAAGGGTTCAAGGAAGCATGTGTGGCTCAGGAGGCTGAGTAGGTTGTCCATTATACACTGTTGGACGTTTGTTCTTTCCATCTTCATGTCAAAGTATCCTTGAACAAGTTGCATAACCCCACTTGCTTGAAATGGCCAGGCCAGCGTGTTACATGGCATACTGGATGTATGTATGAGTGAATTAGAGGCACATTGTAAAACATTTTGGTCTAAAGCCCCTTTATGCAGTATATGCTGTCTATTTACCATTTAGCCTCATCATCCAAGGTATTATTCATTCATGCAAAGTCTTTGGAAAATCAAACTCTCAAGACAAACAACATGCAAACATGGACATTGAAAAAAACATATATATGAATATAATGATAATAACCTTTATGTATAGAGCACAGACTTACAGCTGCAAAGCAAAGGGAAATTTACTTTAAATGAGAGAAAGAGAATCCATGTAATATACATTTTGCCAGTGCCATGTGCTACACTGCCCGAACTTCACGGTCTGTACACTCCTACAAGTTCAACTGCACTTGTTGGTTGTCTACCAGTATGTAGACACCCAATGTAGTATGTACAGAGCTGTATTGCAATTAAAAACAATTAAAAAACAGGTACAAGATAACAAATTGTGATTATCTATCTCAGGGAGGTTTATAGTTTCTGGTGATTTTCGTACCATAGAGACATGAACAGAAACCAAAGGATCCCTGGATGGTAAGAATTTAACAAAGTTCAAAATTGGATAAATGGATCAGCTGTCTTAGTATACAAAATGGCAGTATGTTGTGGACATGTTCACCGGTGTTTTAACAATAGTAACAGTAATAGTAAAGTAATATTTTGATTGTAAATTTGAAGGTACTCTCCCTTTAAGCTTGTTCTTCATGGGTCAGTGGTTATTTTGTAGAATAAAGATGTCACAGCAGGAAATCAGTAAACTTTTGTTTTTTTGCCCACAGCACATATCCGTGGTGAAATTTACTGATGGAAGCAGTTCTGATTTTTACTAACTGTGCTGTTTTTTTGTTGAGTGGTACTTGAACAGTGCCCTAAAATGCTGCAGGGATTAATATTAAGGTTTTATGGGGAAAGTCATGTGAGCCAGATGTCGTCAAGAAAGAGTCTCAGAGGTCATATCCATCTCACTCTTTTTCTCTCTCTCTCCATTTTATTTCATTCACCAAGTCAGCCTTACATCATTCAGAGTCTTTGTCCAGGCAGAGTTGTTACCAACAAGTCTGGAAAATTGGAGGAAAACATGCCTTTGTTCCAGGGACGACCTCCAGACAACAGCAGTGACTAACATCATGGCTGGATTCAATTTAAAACAATCTGGAATTCAAATATATCTTTTCAGATGAGTCATCTACCTTTTGGATTTTTGTATTTGGACTTGAACATCTTTTAACGCTTTTAAAGCATTTCTCAGACCCGGATTTGACTGGAGAAAACACACCAAATGGATGCCACCAAAATTACCAAATGTGAAAGACATTAACTAGGTGTGCGCAAAGAAGGTCAGCACTGCTTTGAGTCAATAAAGCTGGTAAAACTATTGGGGATACATTTACTAAGTTATGGCTAAATCTCATTATTTTCCTGTAGAAATATATATTACTACATGAAGTGGCATTATTTGATAAACACGTTTGTCCAAAGCAACTGCTATTTTTTGTCATACACATACACTGGGAGCAATACGGGACTTAACACCCAGCTATTAGTGGCCACCCTGCTATACAAACTGAGTGACCGTCGCCACATGAGGCTGAGGCAGTCAATAATAAAAACCCAAATGAAATATTAAAATCCACAAAGTAGTGCACAAACCAGTGGTTGACGTCACGGAGGCTACGTCCACCTCTTTTACACAGTCTATGGAGTGGATACCCCCCAGCCTGCAAACATGCTGTAAAAGTGTGTTGAGATCCAGAGTAAACAGTTTAAAGGTCTGCGTCCATGAAAGCAAACCCTGAGAAGGCATAGCAGCAGAACAGCTGGGGCTCATGTATTCCCGAGTGCATACCTCATTTCCATCTTGTGCACGCCTACATGGAGACACGTGCGCTTGGTGTGATATGCTGCTTTGAAGATGTCAAATCTGCAGCCAGTTTCTCTCTATGTTACGTTGGGAAGCAGAGCAGAAATGTTGGAAGCATATGTTGTGACTGAGATATTTGTTTGCAGATTCTTTCTGTTTTTATTCAGATATCAACTTCTAAAGACACACACATTGTCTGTGTAGTATGGAGAGAATAGAGGATAGAGTGTAGTATTGTAGTACAGATTGTAAAGCCTTTTGAAGTGCACATGATTTTGGACTATGTAAATAACATTGACCTGAGTCAACCTCCATTTTATTAGTCTGGGTTTCAGTGGGGAGTTTGTGTCCAATCATGATTTAAAGTCTTGAAAACGTTGTACTTTTTCCAGCTCTAGTTGCTCTTATTGAGTCTAATGTGGTAAAAACACAAAAACAGGCCAAGTTGAAACTGGCAGGACTGGAAACAAACCAATTCCGAAACCCTAGTCAGCATTTTTAGGGAATACATTTCATACAGTAAATCTTTCAAACTCAAAAACACACAATCACGTCTCATTCCAGTGTAGCACCAGAGCTGCAGTGTTTTTGATACTGACTAGGATTATAATTAGAGACTGGAATTTCTGGAAAATAAACACAAAACTGAGCACAGCCTTAATCAAACAACACAACTTGAGTGGAAGTGTGTGCTGTCACAGTCCCAATGAGTGGAAACATCTCTCCAGAAAACACCTGAGGTTGCAAAGGAATTTTTTACTTATCTTCAAGGCTTTTCAACCAAACAGTCAGTTAACTGAGGAGCAGGTTAGTGATATGATGCCATTGTCCTCTATCAAAGAGATGTGGCATGCAGCTTGAATTTAAAATACTTAATTTAACTAACGGTTTCATACACATGTGATGGGAGTTTTCAGTGATTTGTGAATTTCCTTGAATGATCCTTTATTTACATAGGAAGTCTTACTGACATCAGGATCTGTTTTCATGAGTCCTGTACATAAGACTAAACATCTGCGGTATAAGCATAGACAAAATGGTTTTATTATTATTGAGTATTACAGTTACATTAATGTGTATGTTGCATTTTACTGCTGTATGTTTATGGTTGAGCTCATTTTAACTACTTTATATCCTGTTGGGAAGTTTAATCTACAGCAATGTATCATATTCTACAAGATCAATATATGTTTGTAGCGTCGCTGTCCTGTGAGAATAATTTATCTCTAAAAAACAGCCCTCTTTACAGCTTTGTGATAATGCATTGTCCAGCTGAACCAATGTTGTTTTTTAAATAGCTTATTTAAGATAAGATAACATAAGATGACTTAATTAACTTCATAACTTATTATCCATTTCTAGAAACTTGTCTTTGGCGTCACCAGGTTCATTAAAAACATATCAAATACACACAACACAGGACACATACGACCAACACATTTGAACACAGAAACCAATAAGAGTTTCAATAGACCAGTTATCAAAATACAAATAAAAAATCCATCACTTGTGAATTTATCAAAACAATTGCGCCCAGGATAAAATAATTTTTAAAAAGGTTTTGTGCTGCCCTATAACGCCTTCCTGAGGGGAGCTTGTCAGTTTCAACAGGGGATGTGAAGGGTCCCCCACAATTCTTTGTCTCTGTGGTTTAGTTTAAGAAATACTGGTAGATCAACCCATAAAAGAACACTTAATCCTTTAGTTTATCTGAAAAAAATGTGGTATATATGTTTTTCAGTGGACAGGAAGACTATGGAAAACGTAATCGGAAAAGTAACTTTAGCTGTCCACCACTGCTTGTATGATACAAGACAAGAGCTTACAGTTAACACAAGAAAGCAGTAACATTTGTTTCCTTTGGCATCAGTGTGGACTAATGAACTTTGCAAACTCTTGGTCTGTGTCTTGTTGTAAATTAAGGACAATAAACTTTACTGACAAGAATTAAAAAATGGGTTCAATGCATTGTTCCCATTATTCCTTAATACAACAGCAATAATTTTTCAGATGCCCCAATGGGGCGACAATTCACTCCTAAGTCGTTTTGATCTTGACAGTGCCTTGAACATTATGCCAGTTGCTAGCCTGAAGCTGAATCAAAATCACTAGGATTTTGATTATTGTTCTTTGTTTTATGTGATTTTGATGTGCTTTTTATCTTCCTCGTCTGTGACTTTACCAATATGATATATATACGATATATTGGAATATTGTTGGTTTCCCTTCTTTATCACTGGCAGCTCTGTACAGCTGAGTGATTAACAGTCATGGTATAAAGGAGAGCCGCAGAGATGACACGACTCCAGATGCTGCTTTTAGGGGCATTACTGATGAGTCAGCCTCTCTTCTTACCTACAGCACAGAAACGCTTATGTATCCTTAAACCGGATTATCAGTGCAACCAAATGTTACTTGATCTTCCTCTTATTCACTCACATACCATCTAAAATTGTTGCAAAACAGGGACTTTCTGAAAACCTCCAGTGATTCTGGATTTACAAACAGGAACGAAGGATTATAGTGAAAACAATACTGCCAAAAGTTCTGCTCACCAGCTGGAACTGTGTTTTATTACCGGATACAATATTATCTGATCAACAATTCTGTGAGGAAGCACTGGGAGTAGTTGCTGTCTCAATAAGAAGACTGATACACACACACTTTTAATGATCACCATTCTTTGGACTCGGACTTTGATTTATGTTGTTGCATCTAATACCACTTGCCTTTAGATCAACAAGTGAAGGATAATTTGCATGCCTGAGAAGTTATAACACAAAGTTCAGCAAGAATCATCAACTAGTTCATACAGTGTAAGAAGATAAGAAGAACACAAGCTGCTTATGTGTCCTCCATATAACCTTCTTCTCACATGACAACAACGCAATCTTTCTTACTTTGGTAATGATTGTGGGGGGAATTCTGCTTTCTACATCCCAAAACAAGACATCCCAAATATCATAGTGCGTGTGTTTATGTTGAGTTTATATATATGATTTCTATAGTTTATAACGTGTGTGTGTGGCACTCGCATACTTCTAGTAGTTACTAAACTCACAAGCAGCTTGAGCCAATATGTTCATTCTCTTTGGCTTCGGTTGCATCATTTTGACTGTGGACATGAAGGAGAGGGAAAGTGATGCATGAATGAGCCGCCGGAGGGAACGCCGAAGTTGGATTGCTGGTGTTGAAGACCAGATGTAATTTTTGTTCAATACTTGCGCTTGGCTGGACCACTGATCTTTATAATCATAAAGAGATCTCATATCATTGTATTCCACATTTTACCCATGTTACTGCACTGTAGATGTAGACTTTTTTGGAAAAGGGAATTCATCAATTCTATTCTTCTTTTGTCCCCCTCACTTTTATTATTACAGGTTGATTGTCTTACTGAAGTCTCTCTAAACATTGTTGTCTTACTATTCAGCCACCACAGTCCAAACCAGAGAAGATCTGAGTCAAAACATGTTGATACACACACTGCCTTCAGTTATTATTGCAGGTTTTTTTGCACTGGATTTCACCTCTCAGGGTACACACAGACTGCCCCACCATACTGAATCGGAATCAGAAGAAAACAGGGTTATTGCCAAGAAGGTTTTCACATACATTTGTTTTTTCACATACATTTGTGTTTTGTTGCATAAGAGTCACAAATATAGTATGAGAAAACAAAAACAAAACTACTGCAAAAGTCAAGATATGAAATAGAATTTCCAATAAAAACAAATATGTAAAATATGACTGTTTTTAAAATGATAATAGTTGTACAGCTTTTGAAATGAAGGAATACGCAAAATATTGTCTAAAATTTGTGTTAAAAATTGGCGATGGATACCTGCTGGCACTATTCAGGGCTTTAAAAAGCCACTGGCAGCAAAATTTTTCTGGATTAAAAACGTAATTAAATCTATATTTTTCTTAACAGTTAATAGTTTCCTCAAAATATGCTAGAATTAAACATCAGTCAAAGATCAAGTAATTAAGCACAGAGTTCTTTATAGTAAAGTAAAGTATCAAGTGTCTATAAAGGAAACTAAGTAGGGTTACAGTACAGATATTTATGTAAAATATATTGTTATACTACCATTAATATCCACAATAACACTAACACAAGTTGTTGTTTGCGCGATTTTGTTCTTCGTTCCCCCTCCCACTTCCGAAATAAAAACTACACACTTGGAATTTATGAACTTTTTTATATATATTTATTGAATTTTCACTAAACAATGGGCAGAGTATAAACAAAACAGGAATTATAAAAGTAGGACAGGAAAGAATAAAGGAAAACAAATTGGAGGAGAAAAAAGACAAAAACAAGAAAACATGCGTAACAGAGTGAAGCCTGAAGCCAGGTCAGGCTATCAACTCAAGCTGCACTGCTACATTCACACGTGATACGCCTCACCCTCTGCAGAACCTATCTAACACACGCTTCCAATTTGGCGCATAATATAAAATAAGTTGTCAGAAATGCCCAGCTGTCCCTTTCACCACCTCAGTATCCACCTGCAGTCTCCGTCTTTAGTGCCAGGGGAAAGATATCTGCCAAACTCTGTTTGATATATACAACAGTTTTTTGTGCTATATTCCCATGTAAAGATACGTTTTTAAATGAGCTGATTGACTGAAATAAAGAAGATGAGAATGTGCAAAAAGACAGCTCATGTAAAGCCATACTACATAATAGCAAAGACATCAGAGTCTTCAAGGTTAAGAAATTATTCCTACATTAAAAAAAATATAATACATTTAGTTCTCCTTTCTGCGCAGGTATTGGTCTGATCTGGATGGATGACGTGGCGTGTACAGGGACTGAAGACACCATCCACCAGTGTAAGTTTCCTGGCTGGGGCAAAACCAACTGCGGCCACGTGGAGGATGCTGGTGTGACCTGCGCCGTCTAAAACCTTTACGATACCGACACATTGCAGGGGCCGAGCATCTCCTTAAATAGTTCCTTAAACTCTCAAGAAGCTACGAGGTGCACAACTTCTTATCGTTGCCAGGAGTGTCACGAATTTAAAAAGATTGTTCAAACATGAGCTGGTCCATGGGGGTGATCGCACGACAGGACTCTTCATCAGGACTGCTCCATCAGACTGAATTATAGAGTCTTCAATGAAGGTCGAAGGTCATCTTTCGTAGGGCCCCTCTTCCCTCAGAGGCTCGTCTAGGGTCAGGATTGCTGTTTTTGACCTCTGAGGGGCCCGCGCCCACAGAGGAGCCAATCCAACAACTTCATCATCCCTTGGCCTTCGTTTGTCAGCTGAGTTCTCCCAAGTTGCTGAGGAGCTGAAACGGCACATAAAGAAACCGACGAGACTACGTCATCGACAAACTGATTTTTCATTTAATGGCAGCTGCTCTTCACAGTATTATGTAGGAATGGCTTTTGAGTGATGCTAAACATACACCGTGTTGCCTTGTCATATATCGTATAGCATTACCCAGTAAGCAATCATTTGATCATTTGCAGGTCAAAAGCTTGCGACAGTTAAAACTGGACCAAATTTGCAAAGCTGATTCTTTAAATATTTTAAAACATGTTTATAGTTTCTCTAGGTTTACTTGCTAGCTTACTACTTTTTTTTGCACATCACCATAATAGTGTGAAACCAGTGACATTACTGTGTATCGCTTCGGCTATGTGCATTATACAAACAAAATGGGCTCCATTTGTGAAAACATAGCGCTACAGTGTACATAAGGGAGATTAATACCTCTGTAGTTTTAGTTTTGTGTTCCGACCCACAAATTAATCAATCTTATATCTAGCCACACTGTATGTTACCTGTGTAGCACTTAAGGCACAAAAAGTTAGAGACAAGCAGTAGAAATAAGTGGAACATCTAGCATCTGAAGATCCAGATATTTTTCTGAGTCGTTGGTAGAGACCAGAATAGGGCTAAAAGGATCGTAATTATTGGGCTTTCATCCATCAGGTGGACAAACACCACTCCAGATTAATGCTAATGTTGTTCTGTGTTTGCTGGATGTCTGTTTTTCAGCCTGTTGTAAAGTTCTTCAAAAATCAATTTTTGCAGTTTTTTAGCACAGTTTTAACCTCAACATCTCAACGTCTTTTAACCTGCAAATCATCAAATCTGTGTTTGCTTTATATTTCTATTATAAATGAAAATGAACAAAAAAAAACAACCAGGCAACTAAGAAAGATTCTTTAAAGGGTTATCAGTCACTGCAGTTAACAGATGAAGCAGTTATGAAGAAGAGAGAAGAGATGAGTATAAACAGATGGTTGCATGGACGCCTGCCATGTTTGATTTACAATGGTCGGTCTGTCAGTGTTTACTGCCAAACGTTGGCTTGTTTCAGTATTAATGCATATTGTATGTACACACACACATACACACCAAACCAACCAACCATAAAAGACAAGCCTTTTCTGAGTTTTATGCCTCTCTCAGTGGAGCTTAATCTTTATGGCTGCCCTCAAATCTAATAAGGCTGGTACATCCCAAGTGTCACCTCTCCTTCCAAGCCAACAGGAGACAGGCAGGAACGTGTCTCTTCATGTTTTGTACCTTAAAATTTGGCAAACTTCATATGCCCCACCCCTTCTTAGGACCTGAAGTTGAATTCCCCCTGCCCCAATATTCTGTAGTGAAATCAGTCTGTATAAGCTCTCCTAGTTCAAAGAAGAATTATCCAGCACACTGTCTTTTCATGAAAATGAATCTGCACCCAGAGTGTGTTCCTATGAGGGAGGAAGAAAGATGTTGAATATAAATTAGATTTTTAAGACAGTGCAGCCAGAAAATACTTCTATTTTATCGTCATGTTCAAGTGCCTTGGTGTTTGTTGAGGGTTTCTGTTTTAAACCACAAGTCTGCCACAGAAGAAGACAAATTAAAGAAGGAAAAGGGGAAAGGGGAGTCTGGGGAAAGGGAAAATGAGGTGAGAAACCAGACTCAATAGACGGATGTGTCTCAAAAGACGCTATAGCAACACTAAAGGGAATTGTTGGTGGGTAACATGTTTCTCTAGTACATTTTCCTAAATAGTTGAATAACTCCCTCACTAGCTTCACTTCTGGTATAACCACAAACTTTTTTGTTTTTTTTACCTTTTAGCATTGCCAAATAACACAAATGTTAATACACCCGTTAATGAGCATTGACAACTTGTTGGCCGACCAGAAAGCTAGTTGTTTATCTTTTTCATTTTAGTTTGCTTATCTTTAGGCCTGAAAATATTTGTTCACAAGGTTTGGAAACTGTTTTATAAAGGCAATAATACTCCTACATGTTTCTTACTGTGACTATCAGGATTTAATGACAGTATGTGGCCAACTAATGTATCCCAGTTGTATCTTTCATAGTATTATTGCCAACGGCAAATTAATCTGCAATAATTTAGATAACTAAGTAATTGTTTAAGTCATTTTTCAAACAGAAATGCCAAATATTATCTAGACTATTTGCTGCTTTTCTCTGTTTAATGTAACTGTTAAGTGGACATATATTTTGTACTGCTGGTTGGACAAAACAAGACATTGGTGTGATGGACATTCTTTAATTATTTTAGCAAATTTGACGGACCAAGTGATGAATATTTAATCGAGAAAATAATCAGCAGATAAATGTATTAAGAAAATAATCATTACTTGCAGACCTAAAACACATACATGTCTTAATATCTCATAGAGACAAGGTCAGCATACATCTGCATAAATCGCAAAGTAGACCTTGAAAGATAAAGAAATGCAGAAGATTCATTTATATTTGCGTAAATTTTTCTCAGATATCAGACAGAAATATTTGTGGAAATTCTTTTCTCAGCACAGGAAGCAATAAAACAAAATATGACATGTGGAATACAGCAGCTCACAGCGACAGAACCTCCTCACCACGTTCGTTGCTTCTGATGCCAACTTCAAACGATTTCTGGGCAGTCGAGCTCTTCAAATCTAACAACAGATTAAAGAAACCGATGACAGATCTCTCACTGCAACTTAGGGCTGCCAAAGTAGAAAGTTACCTAGTATGACACCACAATGCAGTTATCATTCAGGCATGTTTAATACAGAATGATTTGTCTTGGGTGAATGGTGCACATGGTAGCCTACATAATGCAGATCAACAGGAACATAAAAACAGTCAATATACGTTTAATAAATACAGTATTAGAAGAAGAAGATGACATACTTTATTAATCCCAAAAGGGGAGATTCTATGGTTTTCACTCACTTGTTAGTTTAGTATTATACACACAGGTCTGAACGCAACTTGATATACACTGTGGTTACACTTTGTTTTTTTCTATTTGAAAATGTTCTATGAATGGAACAAATTAGAAATGTACAAGGCCATGGAGTTGTATACTTTCCAACTAATGTGTGCATGATTGAGTGTAATACTCACGCACTTGCTCACCAAAGTGTAGCTGAAAGTACGACTGAGTGGCAGCCAGGCGGTTTGTGTGTCTGGTCTTGATGACTCTCATTCATCTTGTCACATTCAGCACTTTGGCCGTGGACTTATTACTGTAAACTCTGCCTTTCTAAAACAACAGCCAAAGATAACACCCAGGGCTCCTTCAGTATATTTTCACTCTGCTTATTTGTTTTAACCAGAGAAGCAAACTAAATATTTTTGATCGAAATTCCTGTGATACATTTTCTCAAAAAATAGTTTTGTATTTACACAGGGTTAGGTATGTTTTATTCTACAGTATTGAACAGGACTTTGATATTCATGAAAGCAATATTTAACAATAACGTATTTTTATAGAAGCAGCTGTGAAGATATGGCAGCGTTCCCAGCTTTTGTTTCTACGCTTGTCTGCCACTGAAGAGAGAGAGTTTATCAACTTTTTGGCATTTCCTTTTTACCTGAAGTGGTGCCAAGTGGAAGAATTAAAGAGGGGAGGTTCTTGATCTCGCTCATATCATACAGTATGCTAGGTATTTGACAGCAGATTGGACAGCAGAGTCAAGTATTTAGAGCACAACTTCGCTAACTGGCAAAATATGATTAAAACATATTTCTGGCTTCTCTCATCCATGACCAGTACTGTATGATCTTGAATGGTCAGCTCAGCTAACTACAGTAGCTTATCTACATATATAGGTAGTTTAAACACAGATGAATTAGGAAGGTAGATTAGTGCCGTTTCACTTTAAAAAACTGACCAAGCAGCTACAGGAGAAAAAAAAATTGTAACCCTTTTTTCACCTGTGACTCAATTTCTAGTTCCCAAATTTCAGTCACACAGACTGAAAGTATTACAGATGTTTGTGTTCTACTATCATAATATTTGAATATGTTTTTACTAAGCCTATTATTAAGCAAATATCAACACATGTGCTCACATAATCTCCTTCAACTCCTTTGCATATCAAATTACAGGCATCCTTACCTAAAGATGAAGAAACTGAAGTAGTGGTTAAAATCTGATTAAAATTCATGACTACTGACTGTCACCTCTATGTGTAATATTGTTACTTTTGGAGGGATGTAGATACTTCATCCTAAAGGTATAATCAAGTTGCTTCAGAGAAATCTAAACTAAAAGTAAAACTTTTCTGGTAAACATGGGCTCTGGAGGCTTTAACGGGCAAAATAAGTGTAGACAGACCAGTCACACATTAGAACCTTATGGGCGCAATTCAACCAGAAAAAATATGTGATGCCATTGCCACCTCCAGTTGACCGTCTTCTCACAGCTAAATGTGTTTGGACAAATGTTCCTTCTTGGCGAAGTTGCAGCCTATCAGATTTCAGCATGATAAAAGTGTTGTGATGTAATTTGCTGATTGGTTATGCTCCTCTGACCTCAGATCAATGCTTTTGCCTCATGGGCTCAAATAATTAGAATACTTAGACTTTGAAAATGTAACACAGTCTAATTTCATAACCTATGAAAGACAGAACACATTGCAAAGTGCACTTAATTACTTAAATATGTCATATTTTACAGAGTGTACAGAATTTAAAGTGTACTTGGTTGTACAAAGACTCTACTATGCTACTTTGGCATAATGGCTCTAAACACATATGCATATACATGTCTGTTTTTTTATTACATTGTGCTGGTCATAACACATATAAGGGCTATGGAGCAAGATACATACAAAAACAAATGCCTAAATCAAACATGGTTACGTCAAGGAAATACTTGATACAGTGCTTTACGTTTACGTTAAGAAAATACACTTTTTACTTTATGTGCTGTTGATTTGTACCACTAAAATCCTGTATATGCACTGCTGAAATAATAAATGTACATTTGTTTAAACAGGTGAACTCTGTTATTCCTGAAAACATTTAGAGGAGGTGAATTTGAAACTTTTAAGACGTCAACAGGTGAAGAGAGAAGGAGGAAGTTTACTTGGACGTATGTGTGTGTGAGTTACACAATTAATCACAAGCGCTGAAGCAAGTGGACTTGTACTACATGTATAGGCCTTGATTGACAGCACCGAACAGTGATTACAAGTATGAATGTTTCCACATGTGAAGCGGATGTAAAAATAATTGGCTGAAAAATCACATGATCTCAAACACGCATGGCAGACAGTCAGAGCAAGTCTATGAAGTCAGTTTGACCCAGGTCAACGTGGTTTCACTTATCCTCCAGGAAGGTAAGACTTTATTAATATGAGACAGTATAATATAAAGGTATGCAAGTCGAACTGCTTTTACACATAGATGGTTGGATAGATAGATCTTAAATGATTTGATATCTCATTACAGTGAAAGGTAGCTGAAAGGAAAACCCATCTTGAGGATGTATTTTCAAAATATTACGTGATTATATAATAAAATTTATGTTTCTTTGTTTAAAGATTAAGTAAGTGTGTTGAAAATGCTTACAACTGTAAATCTCAATTTCCCAGATACCAATATGTCTTTCTTGAGACAACCATTGAGAGGCACCAGAGTTTACTAATTCTACTTTGTGGCTTTGAACCTGCATTAATAAAAATTTTTTGATCACTTGGGGCAGCACAACAAGCTCTAAAAACAACAATACATTATCACCTTATATTGATATGGTAAAATTGCGAAAAACTAATTTTCACATTGAGCAGACGCAGAGAAGCATTTATACTCATTTGGAGTCATGTTTGTGTCCAATTGATGAATACAGTCTAAAATTTACCCTCTTTTTAGCTCTGTTTTTGGTCTCCACCAACTCCTGAAGGGAATATCTGCCCCTTTAGCTGCTTAATACTCCTCTATGTTCACCAGATGGTTTCTAACTTTGTCTGTTTGCTGTTTGGTGCTGCGGGTGTCTAGTAGGTATTAACAGAGATTTTTCACAGCTGCCTGCTTCAGTTGAAAACAAGGAGAGAGGTAAGAGTGAACCACAACACTAAAGTTGTAGGCCATAAAACCAATGAGCTGAAAGAAGTTAAATCACTGCTTAGGTGGGTTTGCTGCAACTTTCACATTAACCCATTGTTAACATAAAACTATTGATTATAGCTGCTTTAAAATTGTGGTATCCCTTTGGGTCGGTCTAAACTTCTCTATTTTCTCCCTAGTACACTATAGTTACTTGCCATAGTTTCATTGAATCAATGAAAATGTAATGTCCACAGTATGTTAACTTCTTTCAGCTTTGCCGTTGGCTAATCTGAAATTAAATTTTAAGCAACTGTATAGACCAATGGCAGCATTTGGATCCTTACATGTGAGGATACTATTTATAACTTTGATGATTTTCTACATCCTATAAGAACCATATCCATGAGGCATGAAATTAGCCAAAACATTGGTCCTGTTTTTGCATTGACCCCCACAAAGACAGAAGAGAAGGACATCAGATGATGTAGTTTCTCCTCAACATCAGCTCCATATGAAGGCAGCTGCCATCCATCCCTTCTCTTATCCCATAATTTGGCATGTGTGATCACTGGTTAGGCTGTGTTTTTTAGGTGTATAGGACATGTATAACTATAGGGAGGTTTTTGTTTTCATTGTTTTGTACATGCAGGCGAGAAGAAATTTTCAGATTGGAGGGCAGATGCTGCATGTTCGCACTACTGCAAAATGTCTTTTATGGGCTGCAGTTCTGTGTGAAAAACCCAACCAGATAGAGAAAAAAATTAAGTGTATCTGATACATGAATCCTGGGTGGTCCTGCACTCAAATGTTCTTGTATCTGTGACCTTAAAAAAACGCTAATTCAAACAAGTTGAATTAAGTCTTCCCAGAAGAGTGGAGGCTGTTATAGCAGAATATTAATGCCAATGAATATAAAATAAGATGTTTACATAGCTGTAATATCCGGGTATTCATAAATTTTTTTGCCATGAGGTGTATGAAAGTTCCAGATCAGTTCTGTTGTTTGTTGTTTAGATGGTAATTATAAATACTTGTTCTGTCCCATAGTGAGGAAAACAGACAGGATTGCGTGTGGTTTGCATCTGCACTAAGGAAAAATTCTGGATGTCATACTAATTTAATCATGTTGTTTGTCTTTAAGTGTACATATTTTGTTTCAGAGCTTACATTTGATATGTCAGTTGGGTCTACACAAGGTCTATTTAGCTGTTCTGGGGTTTTCAGTCATATCACATGATCTTCTCAGCTAATGAAATCTACTGTCCCCAAGGTCAAGGATGGACTTTTGAACCTCAACTATTAAGCCAACATGGACAAGAAGTGCTCAGAAAAAATGGAAATTTGATCATCTACAAATCACTTCTAATATGATGAGATGCTCCTGAATATCATTTCTTAAAAATGTTTTTCTTTCTTCTAAAAACTGTGGTAATCCTGACTACTAAAGAGCCATCACAGGCGTTACTCAGTGCTGAGAGGAAGACATCGTATTTCTGTATTGATGTATTGATGTATGCAACAATATGTAAGCATTTAGCACACAAGTACACACAGAAGACAAACTGCACAGAAAAGCAGAGAAGTTTCCTAAAAAGTGAGTAAAATATGCTTTAAATAAAGAACAATATGCAATACATTCACAGTATATTCATTAATTGAGTAGCCTATTAACCCTTAAGCTGCAAGAACGATCCATATACATTAAATAATAAAGAGGAGTTAACTCATGCAATAGTCCTCCTAAATTTGTATTTGAATCATGATATGTATTTATTCTTCACTTGATCATAACAGTAAGCATCCTCTACTCTTTCTTTCTGTCTGTTTCTCTGTGGTGTGACCAGAGAGTAACCCATCCTTATTCTATAAAGTGCACCACAACATGTGGCAGCAAAGCCCACATACATGATCTCACTTCCCTTCAGGGGAACGAGGAATGGGGAGAAAGAGAGAGACTGAGCAATTGTCCCAGTCTTTCCCATCCTCGTCCATTTGTCATTGGACCACATTCCTACTCTTTTTCCTCATAATGAAACAGTTATCCCTCCACACAATGAGGAGAGTGGACTGGAAACATCTGCAGTATGTGAAGAAGATTTTTTTTACAAGGGTTCATGAGAGTCAGGGTTTAAGGTCAACTTGTGAGTGAGTGAATTCTTTCAGACAAGCCCCTGACATTGATGGGAGAATCTCTTCTTATCTTGCTCCTATTGCCCACATATGCTATCTATCTATCTATCTATCTATCTATCTATCTATCTATCTATCTATCTATCCTAATTAATAAACATTGAGTCTTGCACACCACCTTGCAACCCACTAACATAATAGAGCATAATTTTGTAACGTGACTGACCTCAGTTGGTTAAAAAGCCGCATTACAACTGTAACATTACCAACAACCAACAAACAAATTGTGTTGAAACCGTTTTAGTGTAACGTCGTGCCCTCTTTATATTCACACTATGTCATGTATGCCCCCTTAAACAATATTAAAACCAATAAAACTGTGTTTATACGCTTGTTGTCATATCGCAAACTACAGGCGTTCAGTTTGTTCCTCTGCGGCATCCGTACAGCCTGGTGAGACACGAGCGCAAGCAGCGGTTTGAATGTTCGGCGCGTTTTAACTGCAGCAATTTAGTAACAACAGTGAAAGAAAACGCAGGTAAAGTTGCACTTATTTACTAAAGTATCGAGATGTCTTACTCAAAACACAATAAAGTTAACTTTAATCGGACTGTTGTCATATTAATATCAATAATTTGATGGTTTAGCTAATGTCAAAGAAGCTAACTTTGCGGTCTACGTTAATTTGAGCTGTTTTGATGTTAAGTTTGGTCTCTAACGTTACTATGTTTCCGCCATTGGTGAAATGTTCATTAAATGATGATATGTTGTTGACAAACAGTCGATGTCGTCTTTAATTTTAATTCCTCTTACTTTGCAGGTGATAAACAATGGCACCACTTCACTGTTTAATGTAAAAGTTTGAGGCTTTTTACCAACGCCATGATTGAAAGCCTTATGCCAGCCTCCATTACAAAAATTGGCGTTTTATTGTAGTGTTACATAGACAATAGATAAAATAACTTTATTCATAGTAAGTGGAACATGACAGACTTCAGATTTTAATTCGGCTTGTATTACATATATCAAACATGCGTCTATAAAACTTAGAAATTGAGTCATGCTGTCTTAATTTAACTATGTATTGACTTAATTTATCTAATGTGTAGGTAGGTCGATAGTGCTAATCAGTAAATTAAGTTCTGCTCAGAATAATTAAATGTTATGTGTTTGGGTTATTAGCAGTAACATAATGTGTGTTTTCCTTTGACAGAATGGCCTCCCCTGCCACAAGCAATGATGAGGGCGCGTTCAAGACCCCTAAAACCGTCCGTGTGAAGAGTATTGGAAGCAATGGAGGGACCCCAGTCACCATCCCAGCTTCACCTTTCATGAAGAAGTTGGGATGTGGGACTGGAGTCAACGTTTACCTCATGAACAGGTTTGTGGTGTCCTCTGATTAACAAATTAATTGTTTGATAAATTGGTTTACACATCATAGACATTATATCTTCTCATTTCTCCTCTCTCTTCCCTCCCTACCCTGAATCTAACATCTGTGCTGTGTTAATCTGTGCTGTTTTTCTGCCAGTTGACTGCTTTGTTCATAGGGAACATAACAGACTGACTGTATCTTAAAATATCAAACAGGGTTTATGGTATAGGTAGTTCACCTAAAAAGCTCTTAATTTAAAAAGAAAGTAAATGCACATTTTATTGAAAATTAAGTTTCTTGGTGTATTGTGGATGCATACTAGATGACAGAGGAGAAGCTAAACATTAAGTCATCATGATATTAAAATAATAAATAATGCAAAAATATTTGCATAGAGTTTATTGCATTAAATAAAAAATAATTAGAGTTAAAATAGCTTTTAAGTTTACCATAATCCATCTTAAGTATAAATGACTTATTATTTGTATAGAAAATATGTTTTACAAGCTACTGCATGGGAAAGTTTTCATGTCTGTGTATAAATAATATTTTTTTAAAATCACCCTTGTTGTTAAATATTAATCCTAGAATGGGGAAGTTGAATGCGTCTCCCTGGGCTGTCAAGAAGATCAACACTAAGTGTGCAACGAAACAGGTGGCCGTATACCAGAAGCGCCTGAATGAGGAGGCAAAGGTCCTGAAGGGAATCAATCATCCAAACATTGTTGGTAAGACATGACAGCAGGCTTACGGTACATTCACTGATGGAGATATTTACAGCGTGTAACAGACACAATGTTATGTTCTTCAGAAGATATTACTTAATAATAATTTTATGTTTCTTTGAGTCACCAATGTAAACCACAGGAATACTTTTAAGTAGAGCTGCCCCCGACTAAAGATTTTAATAGTTGACTAGTAGTCATTAGTTCAAGACATTTCAAGACATTAGATATTAATGAAATTATTTAAATATCAGAAATGGTTGAGTTCCAGGGCTAAGAAAGGATGTTATAATTTACAGTGTTAACACTGTGCTATATTACAGAGAAATACAAAACCGTAATGAGCCTTTAAAACAAGCGTACGCACAAGGTGAGCCGCCTGTTAAATTAACAGAAAAGGCAATAATGATAATGAATGTGTCTGAACAACCAGCAAGAAGACTGACCATTTTGTTAATTTATTTCATCACAGTATAACATCACACAAGTCTCGTTGGTCAAAGCACAGGAATAAATCATTTCCAACTTCACAAGAAAAAATACTGGTAGACTTGTCAACAAGATGGATGATTTATACTTACAAATGACTTCGCTACAAACTTGCTATTCTCCCACTGGATGACTCTCCTAAACCCACCATGTCTTCGTCGTCCCCGGAGTCAGACTCCTGGTCGGAGCCGCTGTAAATTACCTCAGTACTGTATTGACAGGTGTATAGAATAAATCAAATTTTACATTCTGTCATAATTCATAGTATAAATGTAATATTGTTTTAGAATCTAGGTTTGTAAATCTGTGTCCTTTTCCCAACATCAAGGGTTTCGTGCCTTCACCACGGCCAAAGATGGATCAAAGTGTCTGGCCATGGAGTACGGAGGAGAGCAGTCTCTGAATGACCTGATAGAGAAGAGGAGGGAGGATGGCCTGAAAGCCTTCCCTGCTGCCAACATAGAAAAAGTAGCACTGCATGTTGCGCGTGGCCTTCAGGTAAATCATGGTTTCTCTTGTACCTGATGTCATATCAGGATTAGTTACTGTTACACCTGGATTAATCTCTATAAACAGACCACACAATAAATCACCACAGAGGAAATTATTCACCGCGACAGCCCTAGATTGCATGCAGGTAAGTGCATGGAGAGAACAAAAGCAGAAGAACAATGGGTAATCTTGGAACCCATCAGTTATTGGTTGGCAACGATTTAGCTTTTTCACATGACCGTTGTACACATCAGTAAAAATCACCTTGTCCTGCTTGTTTTATCATCTTCTGTTATTCTGACAACTTATTTTTTGACTAAAGTCTTACCTGAAAAGTATGAAGCTAAGAAACTCACTAGTTTCAGCACTGACTTCAAATTTATATATGAATTAAATATGCAAAAATTATATTTTTGTGTTATTTTATGTCTTGCTGTTATTTTCATGAGTTACAAGACTAGAAGAACATATTCCTGTTCATAATATGATTTAATAAAGTATCCATGGGAAACCATGACAAACCCACTCACACAGTCTGTGGTTCATGCTTTCCCAAATCAAATTTCTTCCCTCTCAGCGTCAGCCATCTTTTAATTAAATTTTAGAAATGAACAATAAACGCAGAAGGACATTGTTAAGCCATATGTATCGGAAATCGTTTGTTTGTTTGTCTCTACAGTATCTTCACAATGAGAAGAAGCTGTTGCACGGCGACATGAAGTCATGTAATGTTGTCATCAAGGGCGACTTTGAGACCGTCAAGATCTGTGATGTTGGTGTTTCTCTGCAGCTGGACGAGAACATGAGAGGTAGTTATTGAGTTCATGGCATTTATGATGGGAAATCAACCACTCTAGCTTTTGTATAAAAATACAGCACTGTACTGTGTGTGATAGGTGGGGGGGGGGGCTTTTCCTGTCTCCTCAAAAGAATTTCAATTTGAGAAAGTGTGAAAATAGTTGTTCAGTTTTAGAAAACCCCAGCTGCTGTATGTGAACAGAGAAATTAGAGAAATCCTGCAGTTTTTGAAACAGATTTTTTGCCTGCCCAGTATCTACATTTTAATTCCCAGGTCACACAGTCATATTGACATTGTTGTCAGATGACTGATGAAATTCTAAGTCCAGGTAGAGAAATTAGTTTTGAGTTTTAAAATAATAGAAAATACAATAAAAATTAGAGATTTAGTTTGAAAGTCAGACCCGAGACAATCCGCCAACGAGGTTTACAGTTACTAGATATATCATATTTAGCTGGACAAATGTTCAGGGTTGACTCAGATGCATTCGTACCACTATTTATGTTAAAGATAAGGCCGATATTGTTGTTTATTGATTTGTTTTTTGCCAACAAATCTCATGAAAAGAACAAAACCAACAATGCATTTGTCCGTCTCTCACTGCTTTTCAGTTTCCCCCACCCTGTCTGTGGGACTCAGCCCCAAATCCATTGCTTCCCACTGAAGACATCTTCAAATACCCAGTAATAACTTGAAACAGTCGGGCACTATAGTTTTTATCAAACGTTACTAATACTTAATTGATCCCAGAGAGGAAATTCTTCTTGAAAAGGGTGGCAGGGTGGCGGTGAGCAGTTAGGGGTTCGGGGCCTTTCTCAGGGGCACTTTGGTCCGTGGTCCATGCTGGACTTGATCAGGCTATCCACTGGTTCTCAAACCAAGTCCCAAAAGACTGAGCTAATGCTGCCCGCAGTACTCAAACCGTGCATACAGAGTGCATTTGTGTTCTGAGTGTTGGGGACTATTTTCAGCTGTGGATTATTTCACAGCAGATTATTTCACAGTATTTCCCTGGTCCATGGTAATGAATCAACATTGTGGCTTGTTAATGTGCACACAGGAAAAAGTTACTGTAAATCTATCAGGCTTTGGATACACAGGCATGTTAATTGTTTCAATTCATTGGTGGTTTTGGTCTTTTTTTATAGGATTGTTGACAATAAGAAAAATATACAATATCACCAGACTTTCCTTTTTAAAATTTAACAATTTTGTGCCATTAAAAAGCATCAGCTTTTTGATCACCTGTACTTACTAATATGAAGACATATACTTAAAATCGATCTGATTAACATTACACATTAGGCCTAGTTCAGGTTCAGGATTTCCCTTAAACAACCAGTGTGGAAATTTAATTCTACAATAAATGTATCATTGGGCCAATGACTGACAGACAGTAAACAAACCGGCTTGCCCCGCCTTTAACCGGTTGAAGTCTGTGCGAGTGGACACGTGCACATAAGACTGATCGTGCGCGTGCCCTCACCCCCAATGTCACCCTGATGTTTCAATCTAGACGTTGTCTGATGAAAATTTTGTAGCCCAACCCTAACAAGTTCAGACTGTTGATGTGTGTGTTTTTCTTGTAACCCGGTGGGAACTTTAACCTGAATGCATACTAACCAATGGGTACTCATGTCACCGCGGGTCCCCGTGGGTAGAGGCTGATTTTTGAGGGTTAAGACTTGGTTTTAGGGTTCAGGTTACAATTAGGTTAAGCTTAGGGTTATTGTTAGACATGTAGTTGATGGTTAAGCTAAGGGTAAGGGGCTTGGGAAAGCATTATGAGAATGAGATGTCCCCACAGGCATAGAAGAACAAACATGTGTGTCACGCGCGTTAGTTTTACTATATTCATGGGGTCCAAAAATCGTGTTTCCACTATACTTGCGGGGTCTGACAGCTTTGTGGGGACCAAAATGCTGGACACCACAAGTTAAATGGGCTTTTTGTGGGTCAAGACTTGGTTTTAGGGTTCAGGTTAGAATTAGTGCAGGCATGTGGTTGTGATGTAGGGTAGGGAATGCATTATGTCAATGACGGGTTCCCATGAAGTTAGTGCCACAAGGCTGTGTGTGTGTGTGTGTGGGTGTACAAGTGGGACTAATCATGGATTAAAGCACAGAATTGGCAGAAAACATTGGGGTGGAAACAGCTGTTTACAACAGTTGATTAGCTTTGTTTCTGTGCCCAGGCAGAAACATAACTTCTTTAGTCTCTCATGCTTTAACTCTTCTTGTGCATACATGTCATCAGCCAGTGGAGATCTCAACTTCCATTTTGGGTTTAATTTAAACTAATTGCAAACTTCTGGTTCTTGCTTTGTTGTTCCAATTGTTAAAAAGGCCCAAAATAAATGAGCATTGTGTTCTAGGGGCAAAACAGACAAATTGACTGTTTTTTGTAATTAAATTGTCATCCATCAATATGGGTTTTAATAAAAATGTTTTTCTTCTTTCTCTCTCCGTCCTCAGTGTCAGATCCAAAGGCGGAGTACATCGGCACAGAGCCGTGGAAACCGAAGGAAGCTCTGGATGAGGGAGGAGAGATCACAGACAAAGCTGATGTCTTCGCCTTCGGTCTGACTCTGTGGGAGATGATGACGCTGACCATGCCTCATCTGGAGATGCTGGAGGATCACAACGATGAGGAGGATGAAGGTGAGATGCTCTGTGGCCTCAGGAAGCCCTAAATTTCACTTTTACTGACTGCAGAAGTTCTTGTAATATTCTGTAGTATTTAATCTGAATTACACATTCATGTACTCAGGATCCAGTTGAATTGCGTTGTACATCTCAAAAAAATAAAGGGAACACTTAAACAACACAATGCAACTCCAAGTCAATCACACTCCTGTGAAATCAAACTTTCCACTTAGGAAGCAACACTGATTGACAATCAATTTCACATGCTGTTGTGCAAATGAAATGGACAACAGGTGGAAATTATAGGCACCCCCAATAAAGGAGTGGTTCTGCAGGTGGTGACCACAGACCACTTCTCAGTTCCTATGCTTCCTGGCTGATGTTTTGGTCACTTTTGAATGCTGGCGGTGCTTTCACTCTAGTGGTAGCATGAGACGGAGTCTACAACCCACACACGTGGCTCAGGTAGTGCAGCTCATCCAGGATGGCACATCAATGCGAGCTGTGGCTAGAAGGTTTGCTGTGTCTGTCAGCGTAGTGTCCAGAGCATGGAGGCGCTGCCAGGAGACAGGCCAGTACATCAGGAGACGTGGAGGAGGCCGTAGGAGCAACAACCCAGCAGCAGGACTGCTACCTCCGCCTTTGTGCAAGGAGGAGCAGGAGGAGCACTGCCAGAGCCCTGCAAAATGACCTCCAGCAGGCCACAAATGTGCATGTGTCTGCTCAAACGGTCAGAAACAGACTCCATGAGGGTGGTATGAGGGCCCGACGTCCACAGGTGGGGGTTGTGCTTACAGCCCAACACCGTGCAGGACGTTTGGCATTTGCCAGAGAACACCAAGATTGACAAATTCGCCACTGGCGCCCTGTGCTCTTCACAGATGAAAGCAGGTTCACACTGAGCACATGTGACAGACGTGACAGAGTCTGGAGACGCCGTGGAGAACGTTCTGCTGCCTGCAACATCCTCCAGCATGACCGGTTTGGCGGTGTGTCAGTAATGGTGTGGGGTGGCATTTCTTTAGGGGGCCGCAAAGCCCTCCATGTGCTTGCCAGAGGTAGCCTGGCTGCCATTAGGTACCGAGATGAGATCCTCAGACGCCTTGTGAGACCATATGCTGGTGCGGTTGGCCCTGAGTTCCTCCTAATGCAAGACAATGCTAGACCTCATGTGGCTGGAGTGTGTCAGCAGTTCCTGCAAGAGGAAGGCAGTGATGCTATGGACTGGCCAGCCCGTTCCCCAGACCTGAATCCAATTTAGCACATCTGGGACATCATGTCTCGCTCCATCCACCAACGCCACGTTGCACCACAGACTGTCCAGGAGTTGGCGGATGCTTTAGTCCAGGTCTGGGAGGAGATCCCTCAGGAGACCATCCGCCACCTCATCAGGAGCCCAGGCGTTGTAGGGAGGTCATACAGGCATGTGGAGCCACACACACTACTGAGCCTCATTTTGACTTGTTTTTAGGACATTACATCAAAGTTGGATTGGCCTGTAGTGTAGGTTTTCCACTTTGATTTTGAGTGTGACTCCAAATCCAGAACTCCATGGGTTGATAAATTTGATTTTCATTGATAATTTGTGTGATTTTGTTGTCAGCACATTCAACTATGTAAAGAAAGGAGTATTTAATGAGATTATCTCATTCATTCAGATCTAGGATGTGTTATTTTAGTGTTCCCTTAATTTTTTTGAGCAGTGTATTAATGTGACTTTGAATTTGAAAAACTTTTTTCACTAATAACTTTCTCTATGACCACTCATTTTTAAACACACATTAAAGCACAGTACGGAGCTCTCTCACTAATTACAAACCTAAATTAGTTTTGCTGTCTGTGTGTGAAGACAAGTGCATCATTAAATATTCATTTTAAGTCGCTTGGCAATACAGGCATTTATACTGGACATTCACGTGGGAATCATGCCTCAGATGAGCTGCTCCAATATAAACAACAAGTGGAACATGGAAATACAACACAGCCGGATCCGGTGGACATTTAGTCAAAATACCTGATATGTAACATGCAGTATAGGTGTGGTAAATGTCAAAATATGCAGCAGCATCTTCAGCTATATGTCCAGCTTCGAGAACATTCAACCTAAAATGAACCATTGTGAACTGACTTTTAAAATTAAAAGCTCCGACGCGACAAGGAACTACTGTACCTCCTGGGGTTGCCAAAGTTAGCCATTTTGTAATTCTAAAAAAAGTGTTTAAATAAAGTAAAATTACTACATTAACAATTTAGTAAAGTAGTAAACAACAAATTACTACATAGTCTCCCCCAGAGGATTGTACAGCAGGGGTGATAACCCATCTAAAACCTGATACACATCATCCCATGATGAATGTAATTAGATGATGGCCTAAACAATGACCACACCCACTGAATAAGTGGCTTTTGCTGTGTGATATAGCACCTCCTTTTCCCTGACAAAAATGGCATTATATTTCATAGAAGTCTATATTAGTTTTATGATGTTTGCCTGTTGTAATTCTTGATGTTCATGTCCCTGCAAATGTAGAGATGCAAGAAGTAAGTTTCCAGACAGTTAATTTATCTTCAGTTTACATCCTTCTGTTCCTTCAGAGAGTCGCTGATAGCCGTAGGAATAAAATACGTAGGTACTTAGGACTGATCCTTTACTATTTTACAAACATCACCATCAGATATTTAAAATGCACTGGATGCCATATGAACGGCCGCAAGACGTCCTCGTCACTATTTACCTGTTTTCATGTAAAATACAGGATACTTTCACTTCTTCCAGTCTGTAAAAGTCCTTCAAATGAAACAATCAGAGAAAGAAGAATTACCTCTTTGCTTAAACTGAGTACAAATCCTGTTTGCACTCAGCGTCATAACCTGTGATAATGTGTCACGCTTTCTTTGAGTTCACAAGCTTAAATGTTCAGGAACCACGGCCTTTGAGTCCTGCTGTTCAAAAATAGAATAAGCATAACTTCCTGTTGCAGATTTTCTGACATTACAAGCAGCTACATTCAGACGAGTTTTACTTAGTGTGTTTGTATTTCAGAGGACTCGATGGAGGAGAGTTTTGATGAGGACGCCTACTACGAGAAGTTGGGGACGAGGCCGGCGTTAGATGCTGAGGCTCTGGGCAGCTCGTACCAGCGGATGGTGGAGCTTTTCTACCTCTGCACAGAGGAAGACCCCAGGAAGAGACCCTCAGCCTCCCAGATCGTCCAGGCTTTAGAGAGCAACGCCCCGCTGGATAAAACGCCCAGTGAGGTGATAGTGATTGATTGACTGATTTACACAACCAATTCTGCATTTTCATCTTAGAGGTGCAAGTTAGGAATATTTAGGATTCAGACTATACTTTATTTTAGAGATTGCAGACCATATGAACACAACCTGAATTCCTGCTAGTTCATCCTATTTACTAGTTTATCTGGGAGGATCTTTTGTACGCATTAATATATAAACTATATACGCTTCAGGAAAACCATGTTGAGGACATAGTTTGCCTAGACGCAGAAAATATCAGTTGAATAGAATGAGTGAGCTCCAAACGCTCACTATAATCCCTATACTGTACATCTTTATCTGTCATTTATTTGGATGTTGTCTTTGTGGTATTTTCTTTTTCCTTCCCATGTATGTCAACTTTTATTGTCTAAATGTTTTTACATTCTTTACCTCTTGATTTTTCGTGAGTGTGTTTGTTTCTGCACTTGTATAAACTTTGTTTCTTGGTCACTCGAGCTATCCTGTTTTTATTTGATCTATTTCTGCTGATGTTTCAGTGGTTATGATAACTGTAGGTTTAGTGGTAGATTTAAGTCTGAAATGTTTTCTAAATAAAATTGGGAACATTAAGAACTGTAGAAGTGTTATTTGTAAATCTATTAGCATGTAGTACCCCAGATCATCTCCTGACATAAAAACAAAATTCAAGAATAAAGAAACCAGATGCTAAAATAGAAATGCTATTACAGTAATTTGCAATAAGCTTAGGATGGGTAGAAGTCATTTTAAAAGCTTAAAGATTGATTTAGTTTCTTTTTAAGCAAGAGAAACAAACAGTCGTTATTCCATATACTGTGCTGTTGAGACCTGCAACCATCTAGTAAGGTTAGGTTTTGTAGTATACAAAAGGCCATTCTCTAATAAGACATTATCCTATGTAAGTTGTAGTTAAAGGAATAGCCTAGAAACAGCTAGCCTAGCTCTGTCAGAAAGTAACAAATCCCAACTTCTAGCAACCTCACTGTCCAAGAAATAGTCCTGCATGCAACCCCCTGTAAAACCACAATGTTAACACTGTTTTACTTGTAATACTACGTTAATACTTGTTTTGTGCTCGACTACTTTTGTTACCTTTGGACAGAGCCAGGCTAGTCTTTATGCTACGCTAACCAGCTGCTAACTCCATCTTCACCATACAGACATGAGTGGTGTCAATATTTTCATCGTACTCTTGGCAAGAAGGGGAGTAAGAGCATCTACCAAAATGTCAAACTATTTAAAAGCTTTCAGTTTTGTTTGCAGTTCAAGTTGCACAGCCCCTCATCTTAAAGCAACAACATAATGATGTACTTCTATTTTAAGTTAACGGTAAACATACAGTCTTTGAAACATTTAAGAAACATGATTAGGATCATAAAACAAATGCAATATGTTTAATTTACAAAGTAGAGTGCCCCAAACAATGATGGCATCCACTTTAAAAAAAAAAAAAAGAATAAAAGAGCTGGTAGCATGAAGGAAAAAAAATAGGAACATTTAAATGAACATATCAAGACGCTACCAGTTGTCTTTGCAAAAGTAAAAATTATAAACAAGTCCTCCAATTCAAGATGAATCAAAGCAAGCAAAGTGGGTATATTAAGATTTGTGAAATACTTTCAGTCACTGTAGTTTCAAACCCAATATAAACATCTGAATAGAACACTGCTAATATACACACACAACATTCAACTGTTAATTAGGCAGTACTGAATATAAATACTGAGTGACAACAGGTGTATCATGAACCTTTAAAACCTTTAGACCTTAATCCTGGACAAAGAATGAAATATAATTATACAACTGAAACTTAAACACTCCTCAATATAAACTAAAGTCTGGCCTAGTCAACATACAAACCTTGAACAGTTATGGCTTTGCATACGAGGATCTGGTGATCTGTGATACTTCCGTTACATTTTTTCCCCAAGTTCATGCAATGAAGTTGTAAACTAGGAAGGTTGGCGTGTTGCTGTACTTTGTTGCGAACAGTTTGCCATCAGGTGTCGGGTCAGAGAAGGCGATTTCTTCCTTTGTTAGATGACTGCCGTACATGAAGGTGCTCCTGAACAAAAACAAACATGGAAACGTCATTATTGAGGGGAGAAAGAAGAATAACACTGGCTCCAACACTTTTTGATGTCCTGACAGTCTAGTAATTGAAGGTGAAGAAGTTTTTATTTGGGCAAGTGAACATGAAACTAAAATGTATGCTTTATTCAAAGTGTTACTTTTAAAAACAGAAAAAGTTTCAAGGGTTAGGACTACTTTGGTTGAGCAAATTTACAACAGGTCAACATCCATCTCCGGTCGAGAGCGCCAGTTTGGTGCCACTGGCTATTAGTCATATACAAACTGTATATGAAATGGTGTAAATAAGGATATTTATAGGGGTCTTTCAGTTATATCGGTTAAAACATTTGTAGTCATCAGTTTAATTGCTTTCTTCCAAGATCTCAACAATGTGAATATCGGTAAGAAGAGAATAAGATTTTGTCGACATAAGTGCGACATTGTACCTGACGGTGTCGAGCATGCGGGTTGCGATGCCCTGTCGTCTGGCCAGACTGAAGACCCAGATCCGACTGATCCCACACAGAGCTTGTTCTGGGACAGTTGAGCAGCACCAGGCTCTGTGCCGCTCCATGAAGTTGTCCTTCGTCATGTCTTTGTGTTGATCCGGCTGCTCAAGGACTCTGTAAGCCTGCAGGGATGGAAAAAACAAAACAAGTAATGATCCCATCAGCATAAACAAGCACAGTTTCCTGCAGAGTGTCGACGTAAACAATACCTACAAGCCCAAGTAACTCATGACAGTTCATGAGGTAATAGGGTTGTTTTAGCTCCAAGTAAACACAAAGTATTCACATTAATTTTATTTTAATGTTTGCTTTCAACAGAAAGAAACTACTTTATAAACAGTTCACAGCTTTTGTACTTTATTTGCAACAGTTATTCATACTGCTTATCAAGGTCCAAAAAACTCGTTAGCAGAGTTGGTAAGTGCTGTCACTCGTGCAGACCCCCAGTATATTTGCCCCTTAAACCATTTGGATCAACTCCACTAGTAAAAACTCTTATTTCCTTCAGCATTTTGCTCTGATTTACTGCAAAGCGAACAATATGATCAATCGGTGTGATCTGCTAAACTGAATCAGACATGTGTTTCCTGTCGCCATTCATTTAGATACTAGATGGTCTTAGTTGCTTCACTCTTTAAATAGGCCTTAGCTGTAAGAATTTGTACCTCTGTTTTCTCTGAAGCGTAATATATTTCATAGTAAATATATTAACTTCTTCTGATGTTAATTAAGGTGATCTTTACTGCAGGCAAAGTGAGGTGAATCCACTATAAAATGCTGCCAAGAAAAAATGCAACATGTACATCCCCATCCCTACCTGACGTATAGGTTCAGCGACGAGACATCCCACCACCATGCGCTCTGTGTTGATGAAGAGGTAGGTCTTGGCCTGTGAGGGTCTGCTCAGAGTCATCTGCTGGAAACCCAACTCATTGTCCGCTAGACGCCGCACATCCTCAGCCTGAAACCAATCACACAAACACATTGTGAGGAAGAAAGATTTAAGTCCAAGTTTGGGCACCTGTAACAAGCAACAACGGGCTGGTGTCTCTCACAACACATCAAATATGAAACACAACTTTACAAACAGTGATATGTTTGACTGACTTCAAATTTCAGGCAAGCTGAACAGATTTTTACAGACTAAAGTGGCGACATATTTTATAAAACTACTGATGGCAAAAAAACCTGCGACATATGACGTCCGAAGCAGCAACTACTTCACTTACTGAATGAATCACCAACTGGTTCACGGTCCAGTCACGTGATTCACTGGCACTGCCTCGATCGTCTCGAAAGCTTTGAGTTTGTGCACCCAATCTAACACATTCGCATCAAAGAATTTTCAAAGTAAATTCAAGGGTGATAAAGCAAAGATGCTTTATAACTAATGGTCTTTTCTACAAAAGTAAAGTAGTTTCTCCAGCACTGCTCATCGAGGGGCGTGCGTGTGTGTAATTAAAAGCCTCCTGTCCACCAGCTAGCCTGTCTAATTCGCCTGCAGCCTTGAACTTTGCCAGGAGAGGTCACTGTAACTGAAGCTTCGAGTAAAGAAACCATTTTCGAAACAATTGGCTCAAGTGGTTCGGTGCTTCACAAAAGCTTAATTTGCGATCACTATATAAAACACATGCACCGAGAAGCTAAAGTGCAAACCCACACCTTTTTGACGGCATATTTGGGATCATCTGGCATGACTAGGAGAATTTTTCCATCCCAGAACTCGGACACCACTCGCTCCTTCTTCCAGCCCTGGAAACACAACAGAGAGAAGAAGCTGCAGATACAAGCCAAAAACTCTGAGCAAACTCACCTCCCCGTGAAACAAACTTTTGCCAGCAGCCTTGGCGGAAGATCTCAGCAAAATACTTCATAAAAAGAGTCAGTAAATCATTTCAGTGGCTAAAGTAAATTACCATCATAGGAATCAGGATGCTGATCAGGATTAGTACCGGTCTATTTACTCTTAACAAAAGGTAGCTTTTCTGTGAGAAACACCAACTAAATCCATTTTGTATTTTCTTTCATCAGCCTGCTCAACCCATCTTGAACAACTGTTTTGTTTGTCTACTTGCAATGATGGTTCTCTGTGTCGCAAATAACTACTCGCACATGATGTGGTTTCATAACTTCACTATCTGTGCACTTATTTTTATGTTGGAGTCTCCATTCTAGAGAGTTCAGGGAGACTGAAGGAAGGAGGTTTTACCACAAATTTGATGGCGTCGAGGAAGCGCTGGTGGAACTGGGTGTGTTGAAAATTGTCCTCTGGATTGTCTGCGCTGTACACCATCCCACATGAGCTGCAGGTCGTCGCTCCAAACTGCTTCTGGCCTGCGTCCTAGAGGAGAACACACACAGGAAGACAAAGGTCCAGTAAAAGAAGGGAAACTGACAAACGTTCACCAACAAATAACAAAACCTGGTGTGACTTACTTAGAATTTCCAATCTTCCAGCCTACTTTTTGCACACACTGTAGTTGGCGTTAGAATTATAGCAAGATATTGAGCATTGGCACAAAAAACAGATCAGCTTCAATCTAAACTACAACTACACTGTTTTCCTCACCGCTTTTAATATAGTTTTATATCACCTGCAGGAATTTAAAAACGTTTGTGAACGCTGCTCTATGCGCCTCTACATGTGGGACTGAAACAGGAGGTCTACATTTGTGTAAATAATATTTGCCAGCAGAATACAAGATATTCAGTACATCAGTATTTGAAGTTCTCAGTCTCAAACAGAGCTTAACCGCATCACGTGACATCTTTCAGTAACAACAACCAGAACTACAACAGATGATTGCAGATAAACTTTTAATATCCAGGAAATCAGCCAGCTACACTGCAAGAACCCTGAACTATAAATTAAAACAACCTGCTGTTTTATGTTG